GTGTAAGTGACCTTTCGGAGCAAGAGGATTTAATGGACTTGGATGAAGATGACGAAGTAGATGAGGAAAAAGAAAAGGATATTAAAGTCAGAAGATTGAAAGTGGAAAAAGCTAGAATGTCGAAGGACGTGATCAAAGTTTACAGCGATCAGCGAATCAAATTGAAACCGTCAAACTGCACACGTGTAAAGGTCAAGATGGGAAAATATGCACCGGCTCAAAACAAGCTGATGTTTACACCGGTCCCACAAGTGGAAACTGAAGTGCAACCGTTGGCAGGAGTGACGGACCACAGGGGAAAATACTTCGAAATCGTCATCGCAAATCACAGTAGCAAATACCGAATCGTGAAGAAAAATCAGCTTCTCGGCTACGTTGAGCCGTACGAACATATGGAGAATGTAAAGGTCAACGCAGGGACAGTAAAGAACGTACTCGAAGACCCTGAGGTGGATGAGACAACGAAAGCTGAACTAAAAAAGATAATCGAAAACCTTAAATTGGGACCTGACCTTACCCAAGAGCAGAAAAACGACGTGTACAACGCGTTTTGGGAATTCTGGAAAGTCTTACCCACATCAAAGAAACCGTATGGAGATGTGAAAGGGGTCACCCACGTAATTGATACGGGAGATGCGAAACCAGTAAAATGTAACCCGGCCAGAACGAGTTGGACAGGCCGCGAGTTTATAACAAAGCATATCGAAGAGATGTTGGCACAAGATGTAATTGAACCGTCAGACGCCGAGTGGAGTTTCCCAGTCGTATTGGCAGTAAAGAAAAATGGCGACGGAACAATGGGAACAAGATTTTGCGTCAATTACATCATGCTTAACAAGTTAACGAGAAAGAATAATTACCCGTTACCAAACCCAGACGAGTTGCTCGACGCGTGCGCAGGCAACAAATATTACGGGAAAATGGATTTACAAAGTGGATTTTGGCAGATTCCAATGGATCCGGCGTCAATCAATAAGACGACCTTTGTAACACAAGATGGAATGTACCGATTTAAAAGAATGCCATTCGGCGTATGTAATGGACCAGCAACATTCCAATTGTGTATGGACAAAGTTCTCTCAAGAGCGAAAAGAAAAGGATGCGTTTTTGGGTACATTGATGACGTTATCTTCGCTGAAAAAACTTGGGAAATTTTCATGCAGAATCTGAGAAATGTCCTAATGAGCCTAGTTGAAGCGGGATTTACGATCAAACCAACGAAATGCGAATTCGGAATGAGACAAATGGGATTTCTGGGTCATATACTCAGCGAAGACGGAATTCGTATGGATCCGGAAAAGGTCACCGCGGTCTCAGAATTCAAACGGCCTCAAACAGAAAGGCAGTTAAGGTCATTCCTCGGACTGGCGAACTATTACCGCAAGTTCATAATGGGATATGCACAAAAGACTTGTCATTTGTATGAACTGCTGAGACAAGATAAGCACGTGAAGAAGGACTGGACAGCAGCACACGAAGAAGAGTTCAACAGCTTGAAACAGCTGTTATGTGAAGGTCCAGTATTGGCAAAGTTTGACCCCGCGAAACCGACTGTCATCGAATGCGACGCGAGTAAAGAAGGAATCGGAGCGGTGCTGTCACAAGATGGACATCCGATCGCGTACGCCAGTCGCGTCTTACATGGAGCCGAGAAAAATTACGGCGTAACAGAATGGGAATGTCTGGCAGTAGTGTTCGCTGTTAGGAAATTCAAGCCGTATATCGATTACGCAGAATTCACTGTAAGAACGGATCATCAGGCACTGACCAACCTTTTAAGGTCAGAAACGAACAAAGTCGGAATGAACCCGCGCTTGACAAGATGGGCAATGGCCTTGCAAGGTCACCAGTTCAAAATTGAATACAAACCGGGAAAGTACTGCGATAATGCGGACGCGTTATCAAGAGCACCAATTGAAGGCCCGACGTGTCAAGAAGAGGAATTCGATGAGATTCCAAACTTCGAGGATTACAAGAAGGAGTTTGATACGAAGGAACCGGCAATTGAAGTTGGACAGCTGTTCCTGCAGATGGTGGAACAGAGGGAGAAACGACTAAAGGTCACTTCAGCTACGGCGAATGAGTCGGCTGAAATAGAAGCTAATGTGAATCGTGTAAAAAGTTGGTTGCCTACTGTTAGTGACTTAAAGGTCACCGGACTTGAAATAGATGCCGGAGTCCAAAATGGAAAGGTCACTGGACTCGATGAAGCAGCGGAGAAGAGAGATGACCTTTTGGGAAACGGACAAAGTCACACAAGCGCTAAACGAGTGTCCAATTAAGTTGCTGAGATTCCCAAAACAAGTGAAAAAGAGGTACAAACCATTACCGCGCTGCAAGGTCATCAGAGACTGGAACGAACTAAGTACGGCCACAGTTCGTATCGTCAACCTGCAAGGCGACGAAGAAGAAGAGGATGACTCAAATCTGCAGCTACGGAATAAGCAGTTAAAAGATCCCCATCTGGCAATGATAATAGATGAATTGGAACATCTGCCAGATGCGGAAACAAGATCGAAATTTGAAGTGCACTACCAGTTATGGAACGGCATATTATACCGAGTCAAGGATAAAAATGGGAGACTCGAAAGGTCATATGTGGTACCGCTGTCAATGCGAAGAGCGATAATCCACGCATTGCACGATGAGAAGGCAGCAGGACATTTAGGATTTGAGAAGACATTGACAGCGATTCGACTCCGATATTACTGGGACAGGATGAGTACAGATGTGAAGAATTACATACTCGCCTGTCAAGGATGTCAGTTTCGTAAAACACCGAGGAAATGCCCACCTGGAAAATTGCAAGAGATTAAGGTTGGACATCCGTTCTTCCGAGTATATGCTGACTTGAAAGGACCTTTGTTACCGACCAAGAAACGGGGATATAAGTACATAGCGGTGTTTACTGACCAACTGACGAAATATGTGATTGCGGTACCAATGAAAACGGCGACGGCTAAAGAGTTTGCTAAAGTGTTCGTGAAGCACGTGATACTGGTGCACGGAGCACCGCACATCCTTCATACGGATCGCGGACGACACTTTACAGCTGAAGTATTGGCAAAGGTCACCAATGTGTTTAAAATTAAACACACATTTGGAACGGCGTATCACCCAGAAGGTCAAGGCCAAGTGGAGAGACAGATGCAGACGATTGCTGATGGCTTGGCGCAATATCTAAAAGCGGGAAATGAGCGAAAGTTTAACAAGTACCTCCCGTATGTCATTTCAGCGATGAACAGAGTCGTACACGCCACAACGGGATATTCAGCATACTATATGCTACACGGCAGAGAAATGACAATGCCGGAAGATGTGGTTACAAAAACGAATATACCCGATGATTATGGGACTCCAGACGAATGGGTGGAGACCATGAAGAAGAACTTGACCTTTGCAGAAGAAGTGGCACGGTGTAATATTAAAGACGCTTACGAGAAGAACGCGGAGATTTACAACAAGAAGAAGTCTGAGCCGAACTTTAAAGTGGGAGATTTTGTATTGATAAGGCTACCAAAGGATACGAAACAAGGAAAAAAAGAAAACCAATCGGACTTTAAGTCGAAATACGATAAAGTGTGGAAAATTCTCAGTTTCCCGCGACCAAACGAAGCCGAGGTCATTGAACAGAATCCGAAGAAAGAAGCAGACCTAAAAGTAGTTTCCATTGATCGCTTGAAACCATGGCATCCGCCATTACCCGACGAGAAAAATTCGCAACGAACGTTGAACGAAAAAGAAACGGAAGAAGCCGAGCATGCTTCGAAAAATGGTACCAATCAATTTTTCGAACCACCTCTGCTACCTGAAATGGAGAATGTCAGTGGAAAAGAAGACGAACCAGAGCGGAGCCCGAAAAATGACTCAGCCACGCAACAGAAGCCATTTTTCGAACCACCTCTGCTACCCGAAATGGAAGAAGGTCAAACGAATGGGTTGAACGGAGATAAACCGAAACAGAAGCGAGGAAGGAAAAGGAAAGAGGACAAAGACTTTGAAACTGCAGTCACAATTAAGTTGAACGCGGAAGCTGGTAATTTGGCAGAAAGGTCATTCGAAAAAGATACCGAAACGAGCACCAAAGTACCAGAGCGTTCCTCCAAAAAGGACTTGCAACAATCCTTTTTCGACCCACGCACTGCTACCGGCAATGAGAATGACCTCATAGAAAAGCGGAAAGAGGAAATAGAGGCGGTCAAATCAAAAGCTGAACAATTGGGCCGCGATATAGCGAAAGCAATCAATGAACGAAAGGTTAAACAGAAGAAGAAGAAACCAACTCCTACGGAATTACTAACCCGTAAAGGCGAACCTGAGGATGCAGCCGAAAAAGAACTTCTTGATCGGATAACTAAAGGACGCGAAAACAAATAACCCACATAAATATGATTAAGGAGATTTTCGGCAATAAAAATAGAAGTTGGGAAGGTGTAAAAGAAAGGTCATCACCGCGCAAAAAGTTAACCTTAATTGTTTCATTTTATAGAAGGTAAGCACAGTTAATGGAAAGATTGGAACGGCAAAACTCGGATAATTCAGACTCGGAAAGTATTGGAAACCCACTAAAAGCATCAACACCTATAAGAATGGAAGGTGAATATGGCTATGACACTTCATATGGTGAAGGATCGACGTCATCAGCGGGAACGGCCCAGAATGAACCCGGAACAGTTCAAGGAGGCTACTACGGCAGTCCAGGGTATTATGTGTATCACGATCCAGGACAGCAGACGAGCTACCAGGATACGGTTAACTGGGTGCACCACGGCTCACCTGCCGGAACCCAGTATTCGGGACAAGCAACGGTCGCCGCCCCTTATCAACCGTATCCGGGATCATATACTCCACCGATGGGACCGCCACAAGCGATGATGGGACCGGCCAGAATGTTGATGCCGCCACCGCAACAGACCACACCGAGTCGATTTATGGGACATGGTGGATTCAGCGGAACTTCACCGCGATCACAAAGGTCATCTCCGATACTACCGCCTTTTCCGGAGACCGGAGGCTTGGCACTATCGGACATAGGAGCGCCTCGTATGAGGACACCGCAGCAACTGGGTGTGCAGCGTCTACATCGCAATTCGCCAAACAGAGGAAATAGGCGACCGAGAGGAATTCTACCGTCACTGGGGCCTAACTTGGACGAGACTGGACCAGACGGATTACGGCTTACGCCCCCAGGTGAACCGTCGATACATGCATACGCACCGAAGCTTCCTTTGGATCTGAGAGAGGACGATGCACGCTTAAATATCATTCCGGATAAGAACGACGAACTGACAGAAAAGGATTTAGAAGCTATCCGGGAATTAAACCGAAAGTGTCGTGAACTTTACCGAATTCATATGCGAGTTGAAGATGAACACGCATGGTATGGAAAGCTGATTAGTCTGGAAGCTGTCATCAAACCATGTCATATCGCGCTGAAGGAAAAAACGAAACTGATCGAAAAAGAGCGCAGGGAATACGCGATAAAAGTTGCATCGATGTGGCAATACCACCCGTCGCTAAACGGTAGACCATGGCCTTCGACTATCGAGAAGATTCTTAGGTACCTTAAAGTGTTCCCGGAAGTGAGACAGATGCCGACTACCAGCGCCGAGGGACCATCTAAATCCATGGTTGAAAAAGACGCCCCAGTCGACGAAATGACAGACGAGGACCTTTTGGCAACAAAGCAGAAGATTGATGCCGTATTAACACAACGAGCAGAAAGGTCACGGGCTAGCTCGGTTGCAGGATCAGGACGTGGACGCACTAGTTCGGTCACAGAACCATCCAGTGGCACCACGAAGAGTGGAAAAAGAGTGAGATCACCGACGACAAGCCCAAAAGAAACCGATAAGAAAGGGCAGCGAACAAAGAAGCCCACAGAAAGTAAAGCAACGCCAGCTGAGCCGGTAAAGCCACAGGCCCCGATTCCAGTGGGTAGAAAGAGTGTACCACCCACGCCGAAAGGAACGGAAGGTCAGATTCGATTCCCAAAGTGTAGAAGTTTCACGGCCAAGTACACTGGGGAAGATCATAGAGAACGAAAGGTCACTGCACGAATAGTCGATAAGAAAACGAACAAAGAGATTGACTCGTATAATCCCCTCGCGGATAGGTCAGTCAAGGATGCCATTGGAAAAGAGTCAAAAACGATAGTCAATGAGGCGCTACAGTTTATTCCTCCAGAAGAACGTCATAACCCAAGAGTTATCGTTCAGATGATGAAGCACGTGGTATCTAAAATCGCAACCGAAGAGGATGCATGGATCCGTATCAAAGTGGGCACAGATGATGACCACTTGGCATATACATATACAACGGATGGCAAACTGTTGATCAAAGAGAGAACTCGCTCAAAACCGACGGCGGATCCAGACCCGAAGAAACGATCGTCAGATGATTATGAGTCGGTCCTGAGATATACAGATGCGACAAGCAGAAAGGTCACCCTCAGACTTTTCGGTGGTAATGGAGAAGCTGTGGAAACCATAACTGCAGTGATAGTCGATCCAATAACAGGAGACCCGGTTCCATATGCCCCATGGGATGTGTCAGAAGAGAGCGCCCGAAACGCGAATCAGGCAGCGATTGAGCAGTTATGGGATCTGATACCTGAGAGCGACCGAACAGACGCTCGTGGTTCAAGCGAGTACACTGATCAGCATGATGCGGCATCGAGCGGAAATCGATGGAGCACATTTCCGACTCACAAGACGAATGGAAGACGGATCGTACAAAACGGTATTTTACGACGCTAAGAAGAACCCTTTGTGGGAGGTCGCCTCACAGGGATCTCCGAAAGAGACAAGACACTTGGAAATTCATCCCCCGGCACAAGAAGGCGGAGCCGGAGAGACGGAAGAGGCGCCGGGCACGTCGGCAAATCTAACTGAAACCGGAGGGGCAAGACGTTCTCTACAAAGAGTGTTAGAGATTGCCCAGGGAAGTCATGAGCACCTTCAGTGTGATGAACCAAACTGTGGCTATTGTAATCCACCTGGAGACGACGAACCAGAGTCGGAAGACGAGGACCCACCTGAGGAAGAAGGCTCAGACGAAGAAACGGCCGACAAGCATAAAAAGCCCTTAAAGGTCAAGCCCTCAAAAGTCAAACCGAGAAAAGCGCCCAGATTGGAAGAGGCCATGAACCGCGACAAGGTTAAGAAAGGCGATTTTCTCAAGAAACGACGGGAGGAAGAAGATAAGAAGAAACAACAGGAGGAAGAAGATAAGAAGAAAAAGAGCGGTGATGAAAGCGATAGCACAAGCACCGGAAAGAAGAAAAAAGATGAACCAGCGTCTCATGATGTCGAGATATTGGACGAGTCAGTTGGCGAAGTTGAAGAAAGGTCATCGACACCTACGAAGTCAAAGAAAGTCATCCAATCAGCTACATCAAAAGCAAAGGTCACTGAGCCCGAGTCGCCAAAACCCAGAGCAAAGGTCATCGCAGTGAAACAAGCTGTCCCCATTGTAATGTCCGCATCCACGATAAAAGAGCGTAAGGCCAAACAAGGTCGTGAGAAAGCGAAACGGGAGACGTCGCTTGAATCGGAGGCATCGGAAGCGAGTCTACCGAGCACTTCGACAGTCAGTGCGAGGTCGTATACGGATTCGAAGACAACCCGGTCAAGGACCACAGAACCAAGAAGCCTAGCGGAGGCCTTGGATAAAGGGCAAAAAGCAAAGAGCGAGCCCGTTAAGACGAAAGGAAAGGTCAAAACAGCCATGAAAGTTGATGCAATGGCAATGATCAATTACGCTGAACCAGATGGAGAGAGTGAATTGGACTTTACAGAAGATGAGGAATTTGATGATCCGGACGATGACAGTTTGACCACGGTCGATGACATCATCAACGCGTATAATGGAGCTGAGAAAAATTTCACACGGATAAGAACAGCATCGGTGACATCGAAATTTAAAGCAGGCTTGAAGACATATCTCAAGAAACAGCGTCGTAGCTTTACTAAACAGAAGTTCGACGTCGTACTGGAATTCGCACGGAACGCAGGAAAACTTATCCAGAAGCACCCGAGTTTCTCGTATGAGGCCAAGTTGTTCAGACCAGCCAGTTCGGATAAGGCGCTGACAACTCCGAATGAAGCGGTCCCAATGCGAGTGGAAAGGGCAATCGCGGGAATGACAAGCCCATTAGGATCAACGAGTCACCGGATTAGCCAATACATCAACGCAGTTTGGAACGACGGAAATGGAATGATAAAGGAGATCGACACGGCAACCGAACGCGTATTGCCAAAGTTGATTAAACAGAACGTCCTTGCCACGACAAACGCAAATAAAGGACACCCGATCCGATACACGAGAGTTGGTCTAATACCACCGGAAAGACAGATCCACTGTAATATGTCCGACAGTCAGGATATGGAAAAGGTTACAGTTTCATCGAAGACAAAAGGCCCAATGGACTCGGAATCGGGAAGTGATGACGATACTACAACAACGGCTCCTTCTGGACCTGTGACAGAAAAAGGCGAACAGCCGAAAGGTCAAGAGACATCTGGAACTACCGCAGAAGATCAACCGAAAGGTCATGAGACTTCAGATAAACGGGAGAAAGAAAAGGTCATGCTCCCGATGGATAAGGCAGCGGCAGAAGCTGAAGCGGATTCGGCGCGCCAGGTGTTTCACAAATCACTGTTCATACCATTAAAGGACGTCTTTGAGAAGGAACGATCGAAGTCGGTCGGCGATTTAAAGGTCAAGAGACTTTGCCACAGGAGGAGAAGAAGACAGCCGAACCAAAATCGGCGGGGTCATCATCAGGATCACTGGCAAAGCTGAGGATCGACGAGACAGCGACGGCTGACCAAACGGACTCGACATCCTCCCAGAAAAGTAGCGGTACACCGGCAAAGGAGGCTACAGATTACATGTTAGGGCCGGCATTGGACGTGAATAATCGTACATGGAACGAAGTCCAGAACGCACTCCAGATTATTCGGGAGAAAGAAATGCTTGGGACAGACCTGAAAAGACAAGTGGCGATAAATACGAACGGAAGGTCGTCACTTAATATGACTGAACGGGCTCTGAAACGAGCATATAAGGAAGGAAAGTTGGGATGTAAATACAACAAGGACAACAAAGTCGTCTACTACCTTCCGAAACAGGGCACGGAACGAACGCCCAGACTGAAAATGGAACTGGAGGCCTGGAAGATAGCCATTACAGATGTGAGCTCTGGACGCCATTGGCGGTACCAATGGCGCGTCATGGAATGACCTTTCGAACTTCATGGCCGTCAATTATGAATTGGGAGAGCTGAATATTGAAAGCGATAAAGAGTGGATTAAGAATGCCGTCGAAGCCTTGATCGTAGATGAAGTGCTTCATGTTAAGCCAGATGGCCGAATCGATTTCAAGCCGTATAAACCATCGACGAAAGAATCCGAGTGAATTATCGGGTGTAATATGCAGCGAGTAATGAACCCTGCATATTACAGAAAAAGCATAAAATAATTTAAAACGAAAGAGAAAAGTGTTACGAAAGGTCAACTGAAAGCAGTACTAGGACTAATAGAAAAGGTCACAGTAGTCAGAGAGTACTGATAACGTGAGAAAGGTCACCACGTTACAGTGATAGAAAAGGCAGCAGGAGCTAGGAAAGTCTCAGCTCAGTAACGGAATAGGCGTAAAAATGATAGAAAAGCCTTGATATGGATAGGAAATGGAAAGGATTAACGTGGAGAAGTTAATATGACGGATTGTTTTATAATTACAGATTGAAGCGGAAAAATGGCACAAAAAGGTCAAGCCCCTTCTAAACGTTCGGGAATGGCCGCAGACATCGATCAGTTTACGGGCTATAATCCAAAGTGTCCGGACTGCCTAAGGAACAACAAAAAGGTTGATAAGAAATTCCCTTGCTACACTTGTATTCACAAGCTGGAAGACCCACATACCGTCACGCTTGTTGGGATCATGGAAGCCAAACGTGGGAACTTGGACGTTTTTCGAAATCTCATAAGCGCAAGAAATTACGGCAGCATCCCAGTAGAAGAGCGAATGCTATTCGAAGATCGTTATCGAGAAGCGATCCGGAACAACGAACCTGGTTGGGATGACACCTTGGAGCCGTTGAAGTGTCCACAGACAGACGCGTATCGGAAGAAATTCGAAGAGGACCAGGAGAAGATGCGAGTTCAGCAAATGGAAGACGAACTCCGCGCGAAAATTAATGCGGAAAATAAGAGGGCAAGCGAACAGGCCGCACGGGAAGCATTGCCCAGTACGTCGGGTTTAGCTGCACCCACGGGCATGGCCAGCCTTAATGAAGACGAAATGCAACTCGTACGACAATCGCTTATCATTCAAATTGAAACGATAACGAAAGATCCAGCTGCTATGTCAGATGAGATATTCAAAATGCTGTTGCGGGAGAAGAAACGATTGCAAGACGGGTTCGCGCCGGCACCATACATAAAGAAGGAAATCGAAAGACGTATGGATAATCTACGTAAATCTCGCCAAACCGAAAGCGATGTGCTGCAAGCACTCAGAAGTTTTAAACGAGACGAAGGCTTCATTCGACCTCGATCGCCTCCGCATAGAGAAAGGTCACGCGGACATTCACGTGAACATGAACGGATTTCTGAAAGACGGAGCGAAAGGTCACGTGAACACTCCCGTGAAAGGACACGCGACTACCACAGTGTAAGGTCACGCGAACGCTCTCGCGACCGAGATTATCGTGGCGGAAGAGGCTGGGTGCGTCATGGAAACGAGATAACCGAGACGAGTATTCAGCGCAAAATCGATACGGCAAAGATTTTAGCAGCGACAAGAGGACGGGAGGAACAACGGCGTGCGGAGACTTACCGCACAGAGCCTGAAAAGAAAGGTCATCAGGTGCCGTTGGAAGTTGGATTCCGTAACCGTAACGTTAGGATGTCAACACCCGAAAGGTCATGGGACAAAAGACGCGAACATACGCGAAATCGAACGCCAGACCCACAGGATAGACGATGGCAGGAAAGAGCCAAGTATTACGCGGGTTTTGAATCTGGCGCGAGTAAAAGGTCATCAAGCGCAGAAAGGGAAGATTCACCCCCAAAATACCAAAGGATGGAATCAACGGTCCACGTGGTGGATCCAATCATTAGCACTGCACAAGAAGATGACCCAATGGAAGGAGCCAGTTCAGTCGCAGAAGTGTCCCAAAATGTGACCCATCGACGAAACGTAATCCTGGACAGCGACCTTCAACCGGCTACACCGGCGAGTAATGAACCGCCGCAGTTAGAATCAGGAGAACGAAGCGCACAAGAAAGTCAGCGCGCACCGGATGAACGTCGTGAAGCCGATCGACGGACGACTTCTAGGTTCAATAATCGACACCCGGACACGATCGACATGGTATACGATATGCACGACACCGACGAACAAAAGACGGAAATTTGCCGATACATGGGGATCGAAGATGATTCGGCGGAAGCGAATAAGATTCACACGATCCTAAATCAGCTTCGCCAGTTTTTACTCGATTCCGGGTACGCGAGAGAGATTAAGAGGGGAGTGGAAGAAGGAACTTTCCGTCGGCTATACATTCCTCGTGACTCTGCGCGAGATTGTTATCTCCCCATCCGACGAAATGGATTACACAGTTTGCTAGATTTGAGCCTATTGGACGTGCCATTGGACACGACTGACCCAGTCGGGATGACACAATTTTATTACACAGACTATGATGAACGACAGGAATATGTGGCTCAATTCGTTCTACGACATGTGAATCCGGCCTTCAAGTTACTTGCAGCTAGGGCGTCGATCGGATTGCAGGTGGATCCGACAGACCATGCCGCAAAAAGGATGGGGTAAAAGGTGTTTGCTGCAAGACTGGCACATTATAAGACACAAAACCAATTGGTGTCTAACACGATGAAGGACGACATTCCGCCACTTTTCCGACCTCACGTGGTTAAGTTAGGAGAGCCTATGGAACATGTCGGAATAGCCCACACGGCTCGAAAGGCGTTGAAGAAGTGTAGGACACGAAGGGAAAAGGGAAATCTTACACAGCGCCATGCCTCCCAGGTAGAAGAGCGGATTAATAAGATCAAAGATACTATGGGAAGCGATTATGTTGAACCAGTGGACGGAGTAGACGTCTACGTTAATGAATTTCTGGTCAACAAAGGCGACAGACGTCCAGAACGCGCTCCTAACCAAATAGGACGGCGCGGCTTGCGAAATCAGCAGCTCCGCGATAATCTCGCTGATGTGCAACGGAGATTGGCGGATGACCCTACCAACCGGAGACTCCGGTTGGAGGAAAATGACGCACGCCATCGAGTTGAGGCGGTTAAGCGCAGTCGCCAAGGGAAAGGTCGTGGCCAGCGGGAAGTTGACCCGACAAAGGTCATGGGAGTTGATTTAACGGGACCAGTCGACCGAACGTCTGACCGTAATCAACCAGAAAGTTCTAAGAAGCGCCCGCCGAGAGACGGCGAGGAGGACTACTCAAACGAAATGGAATAGTGCTGATCGTTAGGATCACACTATTAAAAGGGCGTCTACGGCATATGTCGGTACGTCACAAGAACGAAAAATGGTGTAGTATAAGGGCGACGTGACATATTAACATTAACTGCATTTGTGTATTTGTTGGTTTCAGCGTTTATAGCCCAGAATCGCAAAGGATAAAGAAATCATGTGGAGCAGCGATTGGGGTTGAAATTGATTCGGTCTATAAAGCCGGCCCCAAGGGAGTTGCTACGGCAGTCAGCCGGCTCTCCTTCTTAAGCGATTCAGTATTATAAATTGGCAAGAGAAACTACGGTAATTAAGCCGGATCTCTTGAAGACGAAAGGGGGCCACAAGCGGCGAAAAAGAGAAAGACAGCAGGTGGAAATATTAATGAGGTAAAAACTTGATGCGGCAGTCAGCCGGCCTCATTAGAGTTGCTACGGTAAACTATGCCGGCAATCTCTCTGAACGACTCAGTGTTATAAGTTAACGAGAGAAATAGCGGTAATCAAGCCGGATCTCTCGTACCGGAGATGGGCCACAAGCGGCGAACAAGAGTCAAAGATTGAATGTGGAAAAGTCATGGGGTAAAATTTAATGCGGTAGTTAGCCGGCCCCATCAGAGATGCTACGGTAAACTTGCCGGCACTCTGGCCGCTCGAGGCATGTTGAAGTCGGATGTGCGACGCAAAGGTCAAATCAAGTCTTTACCAGGGAGGCAAGCGAAGAAGTGCTTGAAAGCCGCAGAAAATTGGCTAAGTTCCTCCATGACCTGTGATGGAAGTTTGAAGAGAAGTCAGATGACCTTTGGGATCATTACCGCCCAAGAGAGTCATCGTATCAGAATTCAAGTCGCATGACCTTTTTGGGACTATTAACCCATAATGAGTCGCACATTTCAACGGATCATCTCAACAAAGGATGACCTTTATTAGGGAGGAAGCGAACTACGCTTGTCTTCACTGACGTCCCTCCATGACCTTTATGGATCTCATTTTGAAGTCGTACAATTGATACGCACCATATTCCAAAGATGAAGCAGTATTCCTAAGTCGTACTTGATACGCACCCGATTCTCAAAGCGGATTGTGATGAAAGTCGCATTACGGATGCGCGAAGTTGCTCAACGGAGCGGAATGGGCCAAAGTGCGGAAAACGGTGGACAGGACCTGTGACCTTTACGAGTCAGAAATGGAGGATCCTAGTCTACATTTTGATTAATACTTTTGTTGATCTGTTTAACTGTTGATCTGTTTTCTGATAGTATTTTTATAATTGGATCTCTTTATTCACATCGTATTAAATGGAATTGTGCCTTATGGAATTGATGTGATATGATAAATGGATTAAGAGAATTTGATGTTTTTGAGCGCACACAGACACCGGCGACCGTCGTCTTCTCGTGGATCCGGGAGTGTGTCCAGCCTCACAGGAGCTCGGCATCCCCCCAGAGGCATGTGAGACCGGGATCACTAGCGTTCACGTCAGTGGCGCTACGCCTGTGGCGCTACGCCTTTGGACTACGTGTCTGTGTTGTGTCTCTTGTGATTGGCTTGCGTTCTGATAGTGGGCGCGGCATAGCACGTGCTGCACAGCGCCGCACGCTGTTGAATTGGCTCTACGATTTACGATCGAGCTGCGCCGATCACTTGTTGATTTCTGTTCTCCAGAATTTCAATATTATTAAAAAGTCAGCGATTACGGTGCGACGTTTTGTGTTTCCGCATAGCTCGCGACCCAGATCGTGTCGCTCACTCCACGGGATAGATTCCGTTTCTGTCTCCGTCTGTGGATCCATTCTGGATCTACCATTAGACCTCCGTCGTTTTGGACCCGCGGTACCTTTTGGTTTTAGACGGATTTGGGTTTCTGTTCTGTTCTTTGCTTCTCAAAAGACTTCTCATTTTAAAAAGCATTTTTTTCTGTTCTAGAAAATGTAGTAACTGTAACTTCTCTGGGGATGAAGCAAAACCAGTCTATCGCCTTAAGTGCCACACAGATTGGGAGTTGAGTATTGTCATTCACTTGTTCAGAAAGTTTGTTGCGGAATCCAGTACTTACTGTACCTGTACGACTAGTGATGTCGACTACACAGTACCCAAAGTCGAAACACAGCACAAGTCGCAATTCTAATGAGCGACTGGAATACTGAATAGCGGATTAACTCTTTCGAAAAAACCGTACTTTATTGCGTTTAAACTCACAGTTCGACGAACGTAAGCTCACAGTTCGACGAACGTACGTAGCATGCACTTTACATCCTTCACAATGACCAGCTTTTTACGTTGCAGGGTGTGTGCACTTTGGCGGCTCATCCTGCGGGAATACGGAGCCCAGAAAAGCGTCATCTTCGATGTCGGCCAAATCTACCTACGAGAAAGATGCGAATGGGAGACGGCTCTGACCCTCGACGAATTCAACTATTCAACGAATTCAACATCTCAGTGTCTACAAATTAGTGTGCACGCTGAATGCGAATTTAACGCCAGAGACGCGCTCGGTGGTGCTGGTTGACGCAGAACGGTATTATGATAACCGAAATGACTTTATCAGTAAACTGCAGCTGATCAAAGAAATTCTGACCACGAAAGGTATTCGTTTACCGCTGCTCATTGCCAAAAACGGCTATGACTGTGTGGACGCCGGCGCTTCGTTTCTCTCTCTGCGCTGGAATTACGCCAACGGGGAGAGCTACAAATGCGACACAGTAGTGCAGTTGGTGAGTGCCTGTGAGCAGTTGTGCTGCTTAACTACACGGCATCCAATCGAAACGGCAACGACTCCCGCTTGAACCTGTTCTACACGACGGCTGGTGCGCCGTGGCCGGAACAGCAAATAAGCATTGCGCGTCGTAAGGGGGACGGTCAGCTAGACGCGGTCATTCCCACTCTGCGCTTCCGGAGGATGGAAACGGCCGCCGAACACTGCCGACGCTTTGTTGCCGCCGTCAACGAACATTGCCCGGCTGTTAGTCAGCGTGCGCTAGAAAAGGTCACAGCGGTACATACACGCTGGGTGCAGACGCTGGCCTATCTCGACGAATGGAGCGACATTCGCCGATTTCTTCAGCTGTGTGTGTAAAGCATTAAAGGATTCATTCATTGCTTAGCGTTCGTTGCATTACTATATATTATTGACTAACTAGCAATTAACTGGTTAGCGTAAGATTTTATTGCGTTTTGATATTCATCAGGTTCAGCGATCCTGGACAGGCGCAGAAATGGGATGGAGTGGATTTGAGAGAAGTGGACGTTGCTACACTGTCCCTTCCAACCGCTATTAGAACTTTGCAGGAAGACGCTCCACACCATACATTACGCCAACCGTTTTTCGCCTGGCATGTGCGCGCCAAAAACAAGGGCAGAAAATCTACATCCCGCAACAAGTGCGCCTGCTCGAACTGGATTACGTATTTTGTGTACGTGAATCCCTGAGTACCAGTGAATAGACTGTGGTTCTTCGTCGGCACGGGCAGGCGCTCCGCAATTCGACAGCAATGCACGATGCGGGAAATAACAAGTGTTTTAAACAGTACCACGCAAAACATGCCATGCATGGTTCCCGTCACAGTTCCCGGTCGGAACACCGTCGGTCCGCCGTTCTTTTCGCGCAGCGCCACTTGAACAGAAAGTTCTTGCAGTGCGATCGGGTTCCGGCTTTTCAGAAAGCGGTGCGGCCAGAGGTGACGGGCATGAATCCACTGGGCGCGGGCTGTACTAGCACCGAAGTCAATGAAGTACTGATCGCCTTCAATGTCCTGCACGTAGCCTAGCCACCATTGGCCGTAATATCGCGCTTTCACCAGTACTGTGTTACCGTAGTTGATCACGCTGGAACCCGAGCTATGCTGACGAAGGAAGAGAGATGTTGCGTTCATGGTGCCAGCTGCCCAGTCCACGTTACGATGGAAGTTTGTGGTAGGCACACAATTCAGATGACAGGCTGTACTATTTTGAATTTAACAACTCCAGTTCTTTCCTGTGTTAAATATTAAAACAGCCAAAATGTGATAAATCTGCCGTTTCCGCCTCGACAAGTCCAGTTATCCGAGTGCAGCTTGCTGGAATGCTGGATCCCCTGAGCATGCGCATCTGTGCATGAGCATGCTCACGGTCCCACGGAATACAGGTAGTGGGCACGAGAATATTTTATATATGGAACGTTTCGTACCAAAGAAAAAAACTGGAACGTTTTTTTCCTTCTTGTGGTCACTGTAGTCATCTGTAGACAACCTGTAGACACCCTGTAGACAACCTGTACTTCTATACATCCTAAGAAAACCTAAGAACCAGGTGACTACAGTATGTCTACAGTGGTGTCTACGGGCTGTCTACAGGTGACTACCGGTGTATACAGGCAGAGTATCGAGCTGAACTTAAGGTCTACCTGTATACAGCGGTAGACATCCGTAGACAACCTGTAGACACCCTGTAGACAACCTGTATACATCCTAAGAAAACCTAAGAAACCTAAGAAACCAGGTGACTACAGTATGTCTACACGAGTGTTTACGGGCTGTCTACAGTACGTCTACAGATGTATACAGACGAACATCCAGCTGAACCTAAGAAGGCCTGCCTGTATACACCGGTAGACATCTGTAGATCTAGACAACCGGTAGACACCCTGTAGACAACCTGTAGACACCCTGTAAACACGCAATAAAGCCTAAGAAACCAGATGACTACAGTGTGCCAACGGTGATGTCTACGGGCTGTCTACGGATGACTACCGGTGTATACAGGCAGAGTATCGAGCTGAACCTAAGAAGGGCTGCCTGTGTACAGCGGTAGACATCCGTAGACAACCTGTAGACACCGATGTACAATAGACACGCTGTATACATCCTAAGAAACCAGGTGACTACCGATAGGTCTACAGGGTGTCTACAGCATGTATACAGATGTCTACTGTGACTACATGGAGCGAAAAAACGATTCACTTTTTTTCTTTGGTACGAACCGTGCCACAGGTGACGTGTAGCATGCGCTACGCAGTACGTATGTAAACATCGGATTAAATAATCAACAACAACAGCGTCGATAAACTAAGAAGGCAACATTATGCATTAATGTGTGTCGAACAGCAACGTAGATTAAGTGATGTAGAGTAATTTCATAAACATATCACAGACCATTTTTTTGACACGCTGACGCACTCGGTGGTATAACTTGAATCAGTCGCTATGACACTGTATCATCTCTATGCAGCATGATACATAGTTTTTGTTCCGCATTTTCCGCTGCACTTTCGGTCTTATAATCCGAATAATAATAAAATAACTGCCGGATAATCGATTTATTTTTTCCCTCTGGATGCCACGACAAAACAAAAGTTACCGTACAATTTTGTTGTGTTCTGTGCCATGTTACACTTGATCCTTAATTTGTCAAAGCTACTCGTACAAACGCTAAATGTCAGCGTTTGTTGTGTGTCGGTTAAACTCGGTTTTGTGTAGCAAAAGTGCGATTTCCAGATCATTGTCTATTTCCGTTTCATACTTTTATTGATGCACCCGTATTAGAAATATATTTTTCTGGCAACCATGCGTCAAGATGAGTCATTTTTTACAGATAATAATAGTTCATTGATCACAGAGCATTAGCAGCCAGAACTCACGGCCATGTTACACGTTGGACATGGTGTTTTGCTTTGCGGCATGATCATCTCCGCAATATAGTATACCTAAATTTCAATTTATTATATATTAATTACTTTTCACAGATATTTGTGCTAATTAGATCTGTCAGTCAGTTTCCAAAGAGACCGTAAAAATATACGAAAATGCACGCACTTGCATATCCCAAAAGCGTTTTGGCTACGTTTACCGTCAGTTTTATTATACATTAAATGGAGCTTGCTTGCAACGACATACATACTCGTACATGATTTAATTTAAACGTCGACAGTTTAAAATAAATGCGGAAACAAAATTAATGGAGAAATGTTCAGGCTAAACTTAATTATTAACAGCTCGCAAGAACATGCAACGGTTAGTCAGTACAGTATTATCAAGCAGTCTTAGCACAATACTCTAAGCACGATAGATTTTATGCAGACAATTCAGGCGTATAAATTGTGTCAAGTTCAAGCATAACTATACGTAGTATTCCACTTTAATATCGCCCTGCTCCGAATTCGGCAGATAGCCAATCCAGTGAATATCCATACCCGGGATCCTCTTGCCGCCCCCGGCCTCCACCGCCTGCTGCGAGGCCAGATTGAACTTCATCACATCGCCCCACAGCCAGTCTTCGCCCATATCCCGCAGCTTCTGCATCACTGCATGGCCCACTGCCCGCACTATACCGGCATTGCGCAGTTGCGGCTTGACGAAGGCCGCGCCGATGACCCCTTCCCCTTTGTACAGCACATACGCCACCGGGTTATCGGGCTCATCGTCCGGGAAGAGGGCGGCCGTGGGGAAGCCGTTCTCGATTAAATAGCGGAAGTAGATGGTGTTGTTGGCTTCGTGCCCGTACTTCCGGTCGCGGCTGATGATGGCCGCGTGATGCGGCTGTAGTGTGCCCATCCGGTAACCTTTGGGAACTTCGTACCTGTCGTCACAGATAAATCGGTGAAGCCAGACGATAACCCTGCATCTGGAGTTTTACCTTATATTATATAGCAGTTTTTGGCTAAGTTTATAGTTTTATCTTGGTTACTTTTTATTACACACATATACGAGTACAATATGTCTAGAGTAGTATTTTTTACTTTGTGTTTGGTTATTATTACTGATATGCTAATTAATTTTTATGACATTGTAGCGTTAGTGACAATACATGATTAGGTAAACTGCATGCGCATACACCATGCCGCAAACACACAGGATTAAATGTTACTACGTAGTATAGGCGGCTTTTTATTGGCCGCGGAGTGTATAACGTATTCTGGAAAAGTGAAATGTGTTGAACAACTTTATTCGTGATTTTCCGTAATTTTATTGCACACTATATCTATAGATTTTGTATTTCGTAATTCTTAATTTGAATTCGCAATACATGCAGTAATAATGTCTAATACTACCAGATCACGAAAACACCATCGTGTTTCTGTTATACTTTTATGGGTGGTTTGAACTTGATTTAGCATCTTTTTGTAAACATATTACATTATTCTCGATGAGTTAGCCGAAAAGCCGAAAATTACTAGGGTTGTTTTACAGGATTAAATATTCGTTAATATTCGCTAATGGTTGCTGCCTAGAACTTCTGCACTATTTGTATTGTTCTTCGTACCTCGTATTTATGTCGAAATGTAGAAAGTATTTTAAAATGAGAATAAAGTAAACTTATGTAAAAAAGCATTCTTAAGTGGTGGCATATATTCTGTCTCTTACCTTATGTGAAAAAAATTATTACTAGTATTGCCATACTTTACCGGCATTATAGTAAATTCTAGATTCTTGATTCTTAATTTCAAAATGTACGGGAAATCTTACGATAGATCCAGATTTGGCAGATCAAAATGGTATGCGATTGCTCCTTCCGGTTGACCTTTCCGATAAACCAGCTGATCAAAACGCCCATCCGGAAGATGCTTCCCATCTTCCAATAAGACTAAATGCTCCGGCTCCGTAATGTCTGCACAAATAATTTTAACTGGGTGAAAGTTTTTCCCTAATACAATGTGCAGAGACATAGATTTTGCTTATAAAAAATTTCGACGCACCGGCAAACATGATCGGCTTCGTCCAATCAACAACTCGCTGCTCGTACAACATCTGTTTGAGAATACTGGTGTTTGTTGAATAAACGAAAACCACATAGCCGTTCATGATAGGAACGTAATTCTAAAAATATGTGTAATTGCTGTCATATCACTCACATGATCAGGTGATGATCTTCATCGTCATCGTTTATGCAGCTTCATTTTTGATCTGTACTCGTACTTTGGGGAAATAACTGTTAATTTGTAAAAGTTTTACTGAGTAAGTTATAAGCAGGTTTGATTAACAGTAAAATAAAAATACAGGTTATTTCAATTAAAAGTGTGGAAACCTATAAAAATAAAAGGTCACATTTAATAATTTGCGTACCTCTCCTGATGGTTCTGGACGGCAAATGCATACCGATACATTGGGGAAATCATCCACAACAAATTCCAAACCCGGCCAGGCAAACCGTTCACGAACAACATTGCGTACAAGATGAAAAACCTGTACATGTAGATGGAAGAATTAAAAATCACTCAACAACTTTAAATTAATTCGCACAACAATGCGTAATCGTTGTACAAATCATACACCGACAGTATTATGTAAAAACGATTAAAAAATGGAACTTTGGGTACTACTTAATGAGTAATGATGAATAATAAGCTCGATAAATTAAATTTGCAAGGTCACAAGATTTTAAACAGGGATAAATGCTTTAGAAGCGTTACAAGCAGAAATAACTGCAAACAATAATAAATTTATTTTTGAGACGTTATGGATAGCTAGATGAAATGAAATTAAAGGCTACAAGATAAAAGGAAATTATCGTAATAAGTTTGTATTCTAATAAAAACGCACAAGACGTAATTTCAAACGGGAACGAAATAAACCTAAAAATAATCTGGTAAATCAGTACAGTATCTGGTAAATCAGGTTAAGTTAGTTTGGTAAATTATAACATTAACGGCACTAATTCGGAGAAAAGAAAATAAATTCACAAAGAATTGCACTCGCTGATCCTGACAACTGCACGGCACAGAAAATAAAATACGTAAATTACACTGATAAGATTATAAAATAAAGAAAACATTTTGATCATATGGAAAGCTGACGCACAAATAATAGTGATACGTAATAGGTAGTGATAAAGTTAAGCATGGTAATGCGCGGATGAATAACAAATTAAAATAGTTCAGTTTATGCAAGAAAGGTTACAAGCTACAGTAGATATAAAGCGGGGCAAACGCTATATCCGAATCAATTGTCTCGTATGCACGAATAACATGAAACAAAGAGGAAATTTAACACATGGAAAGCATAAAATAATGACGAAACCTTAAATTAATGAATTAAGTTTGAAAGGTTACGAGATAAAGAGGAATTATCAGGGATTTTTCTAGAAAACAAACGAATAAAAGCGCCGTACCGGTAATGAACGTGGTAAATCACGTTCGAGTTGCGGCAGAAATTGCCGAAGCTGCTGTTTATCCAGGATGAACATGATAACTTCCGCACAGAGAAACGGTAGTATACCAAAGTAAGGTAACTTCCGGAAAGAAAAATACCGAGTAATACATAAAATCCATATAATTGCCGCCCCTTTTATAGGGACTTAATATCTCCATGATGAAAAGTTAAGACAGTAAAACTAGGATATTATCGACGCGGGTCATCTGCCTTTATTACCCTTCATCTTTTTCCAGCACCTTTTATTTTTGGCAGCAGGTACATCTCCAGAAATGCGCCGTTCACATGTGTACTCAAGGGTACAACCGTGATAATATTATTTAATGGCCATAGTACGGCGGTATCAGTCATACTATATGTATATGTGCTGGAAAAACGGTGCGGACGACTGGTATTTTATCTTTTTTCTGTCAGTACAAGGTCTGTATAAATTAGTTAATGGTGTACGCGCGTTACGGACGCCGGAGTAATTCCCGTACGATTAGATAAACTTTGCGCCACGTACAGTATACAGTAGCCATTCAGATATTATGATTTTATTTACCGCGTGTATTTGCGCGTGGGACAGAATACGGGGATATATTCTGTCAGGTTGTCAAGGGTCATTTAGTTTAAACGATAAAATCTTGTCGAAGCCATCGGAATAATATACCGGTAATTGCAAATAAATCACTTGGCACACTTTCCGCTCTAATGGGAGCATTAGCCGTTAATAACTTTTAATTTACTTTTCTTTTTTGTTTACCTTTTAATAACTTTTTTACGCTACACATTAATAAAATATTTAAACTTCTTAAGGTTAATATTTTGAGCGGGAATCGCATCAACGATCGTCGATCCATCGGAATGGATATAAAATTCCAGTTAGCTTGTATGCATAGTTAAAATATAGGATGGCATGTGATTTCTAAATTAATGAATAACAAAATTTAATATGCAGAAAAACACGCCAGCGTAAAATTTCAAACACATTAATAGCGCTTATAAGCTGTGGCTCCAACGAGTTGCCAGATTTTCAGCATTTTAGTCTTTATTGACGCTAACAAATCTATACTCGTACGTAAGTGTAAAACTACAATGTATCTACATGTGAATTACAGAGAACAGAATAAACTTTAGGTAATTTATGTGTTCGCGATTGCAAATTTTGATAAAGATAATAAGTATTACCTTATTTTGTTTTGTACTTGTCTGTTTGTTGATTAAAAACCGCCTATTGCAAACTCACGTATTAATAGAAATATTTAACGTTGAGGTAAAACACATTATGAGTTATTTTTACGTGATAATTCGCGGTTTAAATGCGCCGAACCATTGATAATTTGTGATGCAGTAGTAACGATATTACTGTAACAGAATACCTAATTTTACCATTTTACGAGATTGAAATAGAAAACAAATACAAAATAATTGGAAATACCGCTGTTCTTCTAGGTAAAAGTGTAAAGACTACTAAATCATGAAACCTAACATGCCCCCGCGCGAATAAATATTAGCATGTGCTAATAATACTTCGTTTTTATGCGTACTTGGAGTTTTCGAGATCCTTGCATAAGAACTTACGAATAAGCACCGTTAAAGACAAAATTATTGCTTTACCGGTTTGATACGTACTAAAATTTTGAGAATTTATTAAAACTGGACGATGCTAAAATACTGTGGTGCCAAGTAAATTCCGCACCATTTCGTAAAGTGTGATACGCTAGAGCTGTATATGGGGTTCAGCGTTCGCTGAACGCGCGGAACAGAGTCAGGCTGCCAGTAGTAAAGGGTCGAGCGTTGCTCACTCTTGAAAAATCGTTCCTGCTTCAAAACGGCTTTCTATCAAGACTTACAGACTTGAATTTAATCAAAAAAATATTTGTACAATTATTTATTTTTACAAAACATACGAACTGTATTACGTATTATCTAGCTGCTGGTTTGAAATGCTTTGTCGTACCCGCACGTACTACTGAATGTGAATTGTTTCCATTGCTTGTTCAGGCAGTTCATAAGCCTGTAAAAAGTGAACCCACTGAACGCTAGAGCCCTCTATACAGCGCTTGTCTAGCATGCTGTACGAAAAAGTGCGGAATTTACTTGGCACCACAGTACGTAAATTCTTAGCGCGCTTGAAAACATTGGTATGGCGACGTTGATTTATTCATTTTATTGCGGTTTCAAACTACTAAAATAATAGGTAAATGATAAAAAGTAGGTACAGATATATTATACGTAGGCCTTGAGTGTGTTCCTTGACTTTACCCAGGCCATGTCATAAAGTGGTAGCAATCGCATTGATACTCGTATTAATGTTATTCGTATTTGCTGCTTACTCGCAGATGATTTGATTACAACTGTACTGTACTCTGTACTTGTACATATGTAATTATGCCTCTTTTTGAATGGGTTTGCATACCACAAAGTCTGTAATTATGCGGTATTTGACTTGCAATATTGCTGCATCGATACCGGAAGCTATCGGATAATCTGTCCCGAATTATAGACACTATTAACTTACTAACCAACAGTAGTAATTAACCGCACTTGTACGAGTATAACAAATCGGAAACCGTTAAAAGTACCCTCGGTAATCGCCTTATAGACATCGTTTTCTCGCTAATTATGTTGTAAGCGTATATTCCACAATTAGCATTTTTTTATGACTCTAACTGGGCACAAGAGATCATTGTTCTTCGTCCAGGTCGTTCGTACCGACCCACCGGATGTCTCCTATACAGTGGCAGGGTTTCTCCGAAAGCATTTATTTATAGGAATTGATCGCTAATTTGCCATACTGCTGCCGACATAAACAGGTTTTGTACTTTTGGGGTACTTTTAAAGATACATTAATAAACATTCCAAGAACCAAAGCAGCGGCTCCTCAAGGGGACCGCTTAAGCGATGACGTCATTATCTGTATTAATGTATCCGTTTGTATTGCTTGCTGTTATCGCAGCAAAGACAGTACAACGATTTTAATAGGTACTTGTCGAACACTTATGCCAAATGTACGACAGAATCCTGAATTCCCAGTACAGAACAGTGACGGTGGTTTCGGTATACAGCTTTAATGTACTTTTGAGAAGGCAGCTACTTGGAAGTATTTTTAATAACTATCATGACATGTAATGCAAGAATGTCGTTAGAGTAGTGAGGCGTGAGGAAATGTACAAAAAGTTTCATAATAATATTAACAACCACTTCTTTCATCCAAGATACCAAGTGGTAGTTTTACTAGTGGACAGTCCACTCAGTAGCTTGGACGAGGAGGACGCCAGAGTCGGTGGTTTCAGTTTGAGTAAGCTCTTTATGTCCTCGTACGACATGGCGGACAGATCATTGGCTGGCTTGTCCAAACCAAGAAAATTCCGGCCCTGCTGGTGCCACGTGCTTGAGCCGTCTGGTTCCCTAACAGCTTCAGGCACTACATGCAAAAGGCGTAAAACGTTGGCCTGACATGTGAGACCTCATTATTCCTGTACATTAGTAATGGGCTAAAAAAACCACATCCATATCACACTCCAGCAACACCAAAGCGATGAAAAGCTACTTTAAGATATTGGTTTCTTAGTCAAAAGTTAGTAAATTGAGATCGTGCTAAAGGAAGAAGTTGAATAATTACCTCGGCGCGCTCTGTTGACTCCACTCAAAAGGTCACAAACTCGTCCAGTGATTATTAGAAAAAAGAGGCATGCCGTAAAAGGAAACAACTGCATCAACAAAGCCATGGTCAGTACATAAGCAAAGCACAGACTTACAATGTAACTCAGTGAATCTCGACTAGGTCGAATAGCGGTCAGTTTCGTACCGGCTTTTTGCCGCTTATATAGAGTCTGGCGGTCTGCGATATTGTAGGGATTTACGGAGGTTGTACAACTGATTGTAAGGATTTACGGAGCTAACGTGCGGACACTTCCCCTTCTCGCTGACGTACATGTGTACTCGGACACCGATAAATGAATATTTTATGTGTCCGTTTGTAGATCTTCTGAGAAGGAAAGGGAGGCCCATAAATGCAGTGGGATAAATAGCGTCCATAAAAGCGTAATGATGGTGCGCGTGGCCATTTTAAGTATCAGTAGGTCACTGGGAGCTACAATTACGGGACATTGGGGATGACCTTGCATTTATGTGCTAGTCGAACCGATTAAATACCGTCTATCGCAGTAACGAGAAAAAGTTACGGCCCGGAGAGAAAAGGTGAGCGGGTGACGCTCTCATAATTTTAATTACATTTCGCACGAATATCCACAACGCTTTACGAGGTTCAAGGGTTGCAAAGTATAAGGAGAATTATACAGTTCATACACGTCTCTCCAGAATGCAGTGTAATTTTGTTTATGTACCTACGTGGTATCCTCCGGTAATTACAAAGTATTAAAGTAGAAATATTGTACCTAAAACGCCAACGTCGTATTGCATTTCTTTACGATGTAGATTAAGGCGCCATGCGCTGTCTGTATTTCAACCGCCAATTTGGAAGTATAACCCTTTTGTCCACAATGCAACCGCCCGACGCTGAGGTGCTAATTGCTGCTAATTTGAACGAAAAACTAATGCTGCATGCGGCTACTTACGATAATTTCATCGAATTAGCTGACATTTTGTTTAGTCATGGGCTTTCTATGCCTTTTTTTCCCGATTGGGCTCGTATATACGTATACTGCAAAGTATCTGTAATCTGATTAAGTATTAAAGATTACGTTGTGCCACATTGCCCGATCGATACCAGAAGCAACGGATGTTTTGTCGCGAATCACTGGAAGAATGTTAATCTTCAATATTAATTAACCACATGCTTACATAGCAATGCGAGAACGTAGTTTAGCAAAAGGAAACCGTTAGTAGCACGGACCAACCATTTACTACAGGGTACAGATATCTTTTTTCATATAAAGTTAGATGTAGACACCCTTTTCATGCATCACGCTGTATAGTGTATACGTGTATTCTGCAATTATGATCGATGTCATACGAGCGCGGGTGATACTATTTTTCTAACAAAGCATTGTTCTGCGCCTTGATAATTCTAATCGCGGCTTGCGTGTTCCCGTTTTTGCGAAAACAGTTATTTAAGGTAACCAATAATTTAATTCACGAAGTTACACAAAATGTGCGCAAAGCTTCCAGTTATGTAAATCTCAGAATGTTCTTAGCACCAGACGAATCCTGGATTTGATTTCGCTGAGAGCGGCACCGAGTAACAGTTATTTAAATCTAATCTAAAGTTAGAACGCCGC